GGAATTCCGAACCCTGGAGCTGGGAGGGAGAAAAATTCAACGTCGGGCTCAGAGGATACAGCGGGAGATGCCTACACTTCCCCCAAGGTGAGCCATGGGGTTTCTCATTCTTCTGTGTGTATAAATAATGTATAAGATTCTTTTCTTGCATCACAGTTTAATCTTGCTTGAGATTGCAAAATTTTGGTCACCTCTTCAACTGAAAGCTTATTTCAGTTATATTAAAGATTGTTTTAAGTTTTGCTGTCAAATTGGTATAAGGTTATAGTTATGGAAGAAAATGCATTGTCTTACATATTGAGTACCTAAATACTTGTTGTCATTTATATTTTGTCACATTTCTTTTTAAGTGATGTAAGCAAGAAAGACTCAGAAAAGGTTCTTGCAGTTTATAGATAGAAAGGTACATAGATATAGCTATGTGTGTGTGTGTGTGTGTGTGTGTTGTGTGTGTGTGTGTGTGTGTGTGTGTGTGTGTGTGTGTGTGTGTGTGTGTGTGTGTGTGTGTGTGTGTGTGTGTGTGTGTGTGTGTGTCTTAGTTCTCCTGTATATCTTAATACCTGTTTATTCAGCAGAAGGAGAATGTTAAAGCCTCCTGTCTTTGCACATACAACAAATGCCTTTCAACATACTGAAAGACACCAAACTTTCCTCCAGGTACAAACGTCAGGCACTGATCAGGACTGGGGCAATGTTTGGCCAGCACCTCGCTCCTTCCATCCTGCCACTGTACCCCTGGCTGTACGTCAGGGCTACCCGGCGAAGGGCCAAGCTCCTCCCGACAAGTGGGGCAATGCTGAGCTCATGAAGATCCCCAACTTCCTCCACCTCACGCCCCCAGTTATTGAGAGGCAGTGTGAGGCTCTCAAGAGTGAGTGTTGTTTGGTTCTTGGCAATCAGTTGTGTGAATTTTTTTCTTTCTTTCTTTTTAGGTATCTGATTATTTATTTTCTGTTTTTTGTCTTTGTTTTTTATTTGTTTGATTGTTTGTTTTTACCCGTCTTTCTCCTCTTTTTGCGGGAAAATGTGTTTTTGAAATCAAGATAGAATATGGAAATAACAGGATGTCTTGATTTATATATTTACTTGGCCCTTTATTTGCAAATTATGTGTAATTCCCATACATTTCTTTCTTTGCATCTAGTTCTCCACAAATTTGTTAAACATGATATGGAAAGGCAAATCTCCTATCAGCTGTTGTTAAATATTCAATAGCAATGATGTCATGGAAATTTTCTCATCTTATTGTTAAAAGGTGAAAGATGATGACTCCTCTCACATAGTAAAACTTTGACATATTTTTTTATAGAGATGAAGAGGGAGAAAAATAATGTTTTAGGAAAGATATATAAGGCCTAAGACAATAGATTTTTAGTGTGATAAGAGTGTAACTGTTTTATTGTTGTATGTGAGGCCTTATATGTCAGTGTTGATGTTTTTAGTTTTTTTGTTGCTGTTGTTGTTATTGTTGTTATCACAAATATCAAAGAATTATCATCACCACCATCTGAAGCATCAGAATTATCATTGCTATTATTGATATTATTTAGTTAAATATCTCTTCTGGTTTATTATTCCTTCTCTTTCTCTCTATCCTTTCTTCTGGACTGTTGGGGGGAAAAAATCAATATTATTTTTATTCCAGAATTCTGCACTCCCTGGCCAGCTGGCCTAGAAAACACTGAGAAGCAGGAGAAGCACTTCCCTGTGACAATGACCAAGAGCTCATATCTGCACTCGTCCCCCAGCATACGCGACCCCAAGTCCAGAATCGTAACCCTGAAGGTGAGCAGATTGTTGATGGTGATTCATGAATTGGAGTTGAATTGTGAAGCATTTATACTTTTTCAGAGTATGAGAGAATTTTTAGTTTGTATGGATAAAGTCTTGACAAGTCTGTTGATAGTAATTATGATATTTAATGATATTAAAAAAATGAATTATGATGATTTGGAAATATATATATATTAGACTAATCCACACATGAATTTTGATCACTACATTCAGGACTCTCAAGTCTGTCTTTTCAACTTAGCAAGATCCTAAAAATGCAGTTTTATTTTAATTCATCTGACAGTACAGAGTTTAGAATTGTAGAAAACCCTATCATATAGTCCAACAAAAAACATCCCCAGTGACTGGTATGTCATTTTATATTCTTGTGGAACTTACTAAACATATTCCTCATAATATGTATTTATATTGATCGAATATATTATTTGTTCAC